TTCTGTTCTAAGAACTAAGAAGGAAAAATATTAACAGGTGAGAAAAACACCCTGCACAGTTATTAACTGGATCTGCTAACAATCTGCTTTATGCCACCTCAGGGAAATTCCACTGTCCAGAAACACTTTCCTGCTCCCTCCTGAACGCAGGAACACTCATGTTTGAGTAAAGTTCACCCAAATTATCCCAGGAGCAGAAATCCTCAACCTTGATCTCTCTCTGAAAAAAGCAGTTTGGTAATCAGAAAGAGCCCTGGGCTGAGAACTGGGAGACAGGGGTCCTGGCTGTATGGCCTTGAGCACATCCTGATGCTGTTATTCTCTTTTCCTTTATCTGCTCCATTAAAGGATTCCTCTAGAAATTCAACAATGCACACAGGAGATCTTTTAACCTCATACCTGAAGCCATCCAAAACGTGGACCAACCCATCTCTCTAGCTTGGTCTTCAGAGGCCTGGGCTGGCATCCTACAGGAGTCGTGACTTTGGAGAGATGGGAGCTAACTCTGCTTATCAGCTTTAACTGATGTGGCATTTCCTTAACATTCCTAGACTCATGAATGGGGATGACCTGTGCACCTAGCAGAACTGTTCTTGAGCAAAGAGAGCTGAATCATACAGACCTTACTTCATGAAGTCACAGGCAGCAGGAGCATTCTATGTACATTTGTACTAGAATCTTCCTTTCTTCCTGGGCAAGTCCCAAGTCCGAGGGGAATGGTTAACAGCGTAAGACATATTCTGTTCTTTGCCACAGGGCTTTAGTCACTCATGTTTCTCTTCCTGAGAAGTCTTTATCCTTCTCCATCTTTAAATCCTACCCACCCTTGTTGTTGTTGTTGTTAAGTGTCATCGAGTCACAGGTGACTCATAGCGACCCTATGAAGGAAGAGTCCTCAATGCTTGGGTGTCTCATCCTCTCTCCAGGTTCATAGGGTTTCCAGAGGCAAGCTATTACGGAAGTGGATGCCACTCCTCCTTCCAAGCCACTTCAAATGCCACCTCCTCCACAAAGCCTTCCCTGAACCCTGTCAGGACTGACAAATACGGAACCTTCATGGCAGGTCTGGCATATGCAGTCCCGTTTACCTTACTAGTTACACATTTTGCTGTGTCTCCTTTTTCTGCTAGCAAATTATTTTCTTGATGGCAATTATGCCTCCCCTTAAAGTTTCTAGAACCAAAAGAGAAGAGGTCACAATAAGAACTAGGAACTTGTTACAAATAAAAATTCCCAGGTTCGCCTCAGATCTATCTACTAAATCACAAACTCTGGGAGGACAGCCCAGGAACCAAGGTTTCGGCAAACCTTTCCGAAAATCTTGATGCTGGCAAAAGTTTAAGGAATCATGGGAATAAAAGTTTGCCAAATGAATAAAGATTGAAAGAGGAGTTAAAGTACAGTGTCATAAGAACACATCGGATAATATGATTTATGGTCAGCTCCTTGTACCTCAGCTGTACTAATGCCTCTGAAAAGACCTGGGGGGGACGGTCCCAGGCTGAAGCTCAAGGTCTGTGTGTATCTGTATAAAGTGCAACTGGACAGTGTGTGCAACATGTGTGTGCATGTGTGAAAAAGATAGAGAGTGACAACCCAGTATAGGAGAAAATTCAACTTAGAAGTAAAAGGATTTGTGGAAATGGCAATTTTTTCCCCCCTGGAACCTTGTCTACAGGCAACTATGATTAAAGAGGCACCTTGCCTGTCCAAAACGCTGCCAAAAATACCCTAGCTGAAATTTTTTCTAATAGAGAAAGGGGGGAAGCCTACCCAAATCCAAACCCAATCACTTTCACATTTCATGCAAAATCAAGAGACAAAGGAAATCAGGTTTAAAGTAACAAAATGAAGTTTTGATGAGAACTTCAAGAGTTAGTTCCAATATTCTACCTCCTTTCTACCCCCACTCTGATGGCCTAGTGGGTAAGGAGTTGCGTTGCCAATCCAAAAATGGACAGTTCTAATCCAACAGCCACTCTGCAATCTGCTCTTGAACAATTTACAGCCTCTGAAAATCCACTGGACGGTCAGTTATGAATTGGTTCTGATTCAATAACACAATAAAATGAAAAACAACATACTACCCACACTGGGTCGAGGCCATGACCCTCATAAGAAGAAACCACTACAATTCCTGAGGTGGGCAGAACACACATTGGGCATCTACTGATCAAGACTCTACTTCTGTGCAGAAAAATCTACTTCTGTGACAGGAAAGTTTTGTTTTTACAGTATCCAACCTTCCAGAACTTGGAAAGGATGTGCCAACTTGCATAATCAAGAGTCTTTTCTCCTGGTTCGTCTTGCCTCCTCCTTTCCCCACATGACCGTAACCAGTGAGAGAATCACTGGAGCAGCTGTTTCTCTGGGCTTCTGCAGCCCTTGGGGTCACAGCATGTGCGTCCCAGACTGCCTCCTGCTATCTGAGCTTCCCTGTCCCTGTCTCTCCACTCCCCTCTGCCCTGGCTTTGGTGACCCAATTCTGGTGGCTACTGATTCTGCTCCGCCTATGCCCCAGGAGGCTCTGTCAATCTGAAATGAGGCCATCAGCAACTTTGTTCCCTTCTGCAACTGATGCCGCCTGGGCTGGGCCTCACAAAAACAAACTGGAGTTCCATGGCTTTTCTGGCAGCCCGGCTGAGACTTTTGTTTTAACAAGGGGTGGGAGGGAGAATTTGAACCCTGCAGTTATCTGCATTTTAAAACATTTATACACAGTCTATCCACCTGCTTGGTACGTTGTTCTTTTGTTAAGTCCCTCAACCCCACCCCTTTTAAAATAGCAACAAGGATTCTGTGCCCTCTTTTACTAATGCTTACACAGATGGAGGGCTTGTGGGGATATCTTGAGCCTTGTCCCCTCCTGCCCTTGACTGCCCCTGGAATTCCTCAGAATTCTGAGTAGCCAGTCAGTCCTCAGTTCCCAAAATGGGAAGTCGACCAGCCAGCCTCCGTTTTTGAAAGGGAAGGGCTCAAGTGAGAAACATCCAGCTTGTAGGAACCACTCCCACTGGCTGCCTACAAGATTGGGATCGAGGGAGGGAGATTTTTCAGCCAAGAGTCTAATTTCCTTACCATACAAGACAACAGTCCTTTCAATTGCTTTCTTGCCACTTCTCATTGAGCAGGGAGCTGGGTGGGGGGCAGAAATGCAAAGGGGGAAAAGGTGCAGGATGATGGTCAGAGTAGGGACATGATGTGATAAATGAGGCCAAATCTATTTCCAAGTAGGAGGGTGATGGGAGCTTAGAATTATCTGGGGGAATTTAGTCTACAGTTTTTTCTCTCAACAGATGGTTTTAAGAATCCTAACAATGCTGGTCTTCTGTGGCCTCTCTGTCCAAGGTTCTTCTTTATGATGATCACCTCAAGTCAGACCCTACAGTTTCAGTTTCATCTGAGTTCCAAGGACATCAGAGTACAAAGCACATTAACAAACTCTTCAACTCTGTGTTATTAATCCCTGAAGACTATAACAAAGTCACCATCCACTAAAGCCCTGGAAGATACAAGTGGTTCCAGCCTTAACCAAACCAGTGGCAAGGCAAGGCAAGGCATTCAGCTAACAGTAATAAGTCAAGGACAGTGGAGACACTGCTAAATGTGGTCCAGCTCCAGAGTTGGAGAAAAAAACTGAAGCTCAAAATCCCCTCTCTCCTAGGCAGAAAACGAAATTAAGACTGTCCCTTTGACAAATATTACATGATGCCACTGTTGTAGAATGGGACTGTCCTTGGGGTTGGGGAGAGACTGAGTAAGATGGGTTCAATAATGTATACTGCACTGAAACAGAGGAGGGAGAAAACTGTTTAAAAGAGATATATGACTAGGTACTTCTGTCATCACAGGAGTCTAGAGCGAGGGCTACATGGTGGAGGGGACCTGGGGGAGGGTTTGTAAAACAATGAAAGAATTCATCTTTTACTTTTCCATAATTTTTGGACTCATGTACTTATAACTTGTTAGTCAAATTTGTGTCTTCTAGGTTGCAACACCCCCATGATACATCTTCAAGGATATGAACACGTACAGCCAAGCACAATCAATAAGAGTGCATCTGAATTCCAAAACCAATCTCCATAATAGTCTATGTGTTTCCTACTGCCAAAGGGGCCCTTTAGAGTAGTGAGAGAAGATCTTCACCCTGAAACCCACAGCGTCCCTTTTCAGCAGGAAGTAGCTAAGAGAATACGCCGTCCCCTTTTCCTTATGACTCAGGGTGAAGTCTCTCTCAGGGAGGAGTGATAGGGAATGGCAAAGGACACACTGACAAAGAAGATTAATCAGAACTGGCTTTGACAAGCACTGTGGCATTTGGACAAGAACAAACTGGGAGGAGGGTAGAGAGAATAGTGCAACAATGAATGAGTGGAAGCCCAAAATCTCTGTAAATGTTTATGAAAATTAATAAAATATAATTATAGAAAAAAAAAAGGAAAAAAAAGACTGTCCCTTTGAGAGGAACTCTCAGAAAAAAGCAAGTTCCTCACGTTCTAGAGAGAATTCTGGAGGACCGTATGGTTCTTATGAGAAAGCTGCTGTCTACCGAGCCCAGCTCAGCATTCACTGTGGCTGGGCTGCAGCCATCGCTTTTGTACAAACAGCAAGCCTGAGATTTTGAGTGGCCCAAGGAGGGATCTAAGTTGCTGTCATTTCTTGGGACATGATAGCGAAAGCATCTGAGAGGACTCCATCCAGGCAGCCCCTTCTGTGGCACTCCTGGTGACCATGGCCTCTTATGAAGGCTCATATCCTACCTTTCTCATAATGGCTCCAACACTGGAAAATCTTTAGTAAAAGACCAAAGACTAGTAAGCTAGATCCTACCTTTCTAACATCAAACTCAGTGACCAAAGAACACCAGAGCTCTTCTGCAAAGGATTCACTTCTGGGACCTGTAAACCGATCTACTCACCAACACTACTCTCAGGAAAGTGAGGAAAATGGGAGAGCGAGCCAGTGAGCAGGAGATCAGGCCGGTGGGGGGAAGGACTTACACCAGAGTTCATAGTAGTAGCTGCAGCACTGAGACTGTCCACAGCAGTGTCCCGTGTCACAGGTATAGCTTTGATTGTTGGTACCCACACAGGTTTCCTTATCCTAAAAATAAAATCAAAAGGCATTGGGCAAAATTAATGACAGCTAAAGCAAATTATGTTTCATTCATGAAATTAAATGATCACATGTAATGTTATTCACCACCCCCATCCTCTGTTCCAATCCCCAAATAGTCTACAGTAATGTTATTTCAAAGAAAAGATGAGAAAGGACCACACAAAACCAGAAGAGAATTTAAAAAGTAGAGTTTATTTAAAGGGGTAAGGGACTCAGCACACAAAGTCAAGACACAGACTAATTCTGGCTAAGATAGCCTCATTTTCTTCACATCCAAGCAGAAATGTTTCATGTAAGAAGGTGCCAGTTCTCCTGGAATTAGCGGTGTTTTTAAATAAAGTCAGCTTTTCTGCGAAACTTCCTGGAATAATTAATGCGGTTCCATAGTCAAGGATTAGCAACTAATCGGTCATTCTGGCCTCCTTTTAAAACACACTGATCTCCAGGGTTAACTACAGTATAATTCAAAAGAGGGCCCAAAAGAGGTGCTGCAGAAATTTCTGAGTTAAAAAAAGAAAAAAAGGCTAGAAAGTGATCTGGTCAGGTGACCTCATTCCATTCCCATCTTTAGTTTGCTTATTGAATGGTTTCTTACAAATCCTGTCTGGGTCCAGGGCTCATGCTCACCCCTGGTCTGGGACAGCTACATAAAAAGGACACTACTGAGAAATCAGCTCACAGCTGCCAAATTCTATTCACAGCACTGGTGGAAGGAGATACAGTCAGGAGCAAAAGAGAAAAACAAAGCCAAACTGCAAACAACTCTATTTGACATTTTATGGTATGAAATACCCCATCAGTCAGTCCACTTTAACCTTACTTAGCCTAAGGGTATTCTGCACTGCTAAGAATAGGATGAAACCTAGAAGTCATCTGCTATACTTCACCTTCAGAATTTAATCCTAAAGCAGTAACACATTCATTGACTGACTGGACACTGTCGTTGTGCCAGGCACTGTGTTAGGCACAAAGCTACAAGATGAATAAGACTTTATCTTTACCCTCAAGAAGCTCAGAGTTGAGAAGGGAAAAAACCCAGCTCAGAAAAGAAACTAAAACCACAGTATTGTATTTGCTGCGACTCTGGCTGACCTGCCCACCGTGTACATCCGGGAGGGCAGCTGCCAGTGGAAACTCAGGTCACATGGCTGGGCCCTCCTCTCCAGACCTTGCTTTACTATGCTATCTGCCCAGCCAAGGGGATAAACAAAGCACCCCACAGACTGTCTACAGGGCACAGTGCAGGCACCTGAGGCCGCAGGGAGAGGCTGAGAGAAAATGTGCTGACCACCAGAGTCCTGGCTCAGGGAAAAGTGTCCGCCACAGACCCTCGGGTGTTTCCTGGCCTTTTAAGTCTTATATGATGGGACTTCCTAAAACTTAACATTCTTCTCCAAGAAAAAGTCTTACATGGGTTGGTACAAAAGAGCCTAAAGAAAGTAATTATGGGAGAAGCATTTATAAACCCTGACAGAGGGTTTCACAATACTCCACACAGCCTTCCCTATCTTCACTTCCTGGGCCCACTTAAGCAATATGAAGCTCCTGGCTGGTGGCAGCCTGGCTGTCCAGTTAGTATTCTCCTCTGAGGCCTGGGATACGCTCAGAAAGCAGACCTGTGCTTGCTGCTTTTTTGAGAACAAACACTCTCTGACTCTCAACTAGTAACACTGCTCTCATGAGAACAGCAAGAAGCTTCTCCCCAGTTTATATCCCCCACAAATGCCATTCTTCTGGCACCAACTCACCAGAGTGCAGTTCAAGGTGTCCGCACAGCTTCTAAAAGAGACCGTGCTGCCTACACCCCGACACATGAAAGACTCCAGTGACACTCCTGCCTTGGGAAATTCTTAACCAGATGAGGTCCAGGCTCTAAACTCAGAGCAGCCAACTGGCTCTAAGTGAGGCGTACAATGGAATGCGTTTGCACCTCACAACCTAGTGGTGTCAGCTTCTCTCTGGGTGTTTCTATTCCCCAGACACGGGGACAGGAGGCATGGTATGACCAAGATCCCATTTTCCTTCCCCATCTACCTCCATGTTCCCAGGGAAAGAACTACTACCACGTCATTTAATCCAGCGTTCCTCAAACATCTTTAAACCCAACATTACCTCATCCTATTCTCCTCTCCCTCCTCCTTTCCCCCAGATACAGAGCCCGGGACGGTCTTGGTTAGGGGAACTGTCATTTTCTGCTACAGGGGAGGGAAAGAAGGTGGGCAGCTAAAGAAGACAATAAATGGTTTCATGGGACCTTAACACAGAAGAAATGAGGGACCGGGGGACAATGAAATGGGAGGGCTCAGACGAGTTCCTCCAAAGACAAACTGACAAATGTGATAAAAACACCCAAGCCTTGAGTCTGGTCCAAACTCTGCCCCTATGGAGGAATGGGCCCTTCGGCAAGTGACTCAACAGCCCTAGCCTTCATCTACAAAAGTTAGTTAAGATTATCTCTCGTGTCTCCTTCAACTCTGCTCACTCACTCTTGCTTATGTCCAGTCAGAACTGACTCAGCTGACCCTCCAGTGGGTATTCGGAGGCTGTAAATCACAAGGGAGGACACAGCCTATCTTTATCCCCTCAGAGCTCCTGGTGGATCTGAACTGCAGAGAGGCACCGCCTTTGGGTCAGTGTAACTCTACCCACTACAACACTAGAGCTCCTTCAACTAAGGCTTCATAATCTCATCTTTCTATTCTCTCTGTCCCAGTACCTAAGCCAAGGCAAAAACTTTCTCTTAGTCAAATAAACAGCATAGGTCCATGGTGAGCATGGGCTGTTCTGTACTCTTCCATCCTTTCTTAGGTGAGGAGCCTAACAGTGGCCCACCAGGAGGTTCCTTAGAAACTTTGAGGAACAAGACTTATGAAATAGAAGTGGTTCAGAGTCTGCTAGACTTGGGTTCAGAGCTTTGCTTTTATGCTAACTAACTGTAACCTCGGGTAAATTACTTAACTTCTCTAAGTTCTTAATGTCAACGTTATTCTGTGAGCCACATTACTAATTATCCAACAATACTTTTTTTGCCCTCAATTAGAACTATTGTGTTTCAGAACAGTAATGTTGACTGTGGCAATATGGGCTGCTCTGGTCAAACAGAGACTAGAGGGGGGAAAAAAACAAAACTGGAAGAGAGTGCAACAGAAAGTTCAACGGTGAACTTTTCAGCACCTTTTATGATGATATGTTTTCCTTCCTGCAACTGACAAGAAAGCAACAGGAAACTAACTTCAAATTCTCTGTAATAGGCTGAAATATTTTTTTAAGGTAATAATTTAAAAGGAAGAGGTGTCCTCTTAGAGCAGAAGGAATATTCAGAGACCTCCTTAGCAAGCTGAAACCCTTTGTTCTCCTGGTCTAGGACAACTGAGAGACGTTCTTATCAAGCTGAAGCCTTTGTTGAGTTTTGCCTCTCTACTCAATCATCTATAGCCGAGATTTACTCTCTTTTTGGTCTTGACATATGGATGGCATCAAGTTATCTCTGAAACTTTGAGAAGATTCGTCCAGGTCCCAATCAGCAGACACAAATGCCTGGACAAGAAGAGCTCCCATCCTATGTCTCTCCTATAGGAGCCCCTGGAGTCTTTAAGGCAGGGAGACAGATTTGGGATGCTCACACTCCAGCTCCTACATACTTGTATATAATAAATCTTCTGCCTTTTCTGTTCCAATCTCAATTTCAAGACTGGTTACCTGGCGGCACGAGGCAGTATCTTGCCTTTGCAGCAATACTCCAGGCACTTTACACATGAGTTGTTCAGACCATGTCCTGAGGGGTATATTCCCCAGCCTATCCCCGTTTCTCCAGACAGTGACCTGTGATCTCCTTAGAGGGAGAAGCTATGTCTTCTGGTTCCCCCTGACCATCCCCAGAATGGGCACAACACTTGGTAAGACAATGATGTAACCTCCATGAAGGTCGTAAGCACTTGTTATGGGTCCTGGTGGGACAAGGGTTCAGCACTTGGCTGCTATCCAAAAGGTTGGGGGCTCAAACTCCCAGCAGCTCTGCAGGAGAAACATGTGGCAATCTGCATTATAGCCAAGAACACACTAGAGAGCAGTTCTACTCTGCCACAAAGTGTCACTGTGAGTCAAAAATCAACTTGAAAGCACTTGGCGACAAGACACAACACCTGCTATATGCCAGGAGGGTAAAAAAACCCCAACAAAACAAACCTGTTGCTGCCAAGGCTACTCTGACCCACAGCTAACCTGCAGGACCATGTAGAACTCCTTCTCTCCTCCCAATAGGGTCCCCAAGGCTGTAAATCCTTACAGAAACAGACTGCCATCATTTTCTCCCCTGGAGTGGTTGGTGGGTTCAAACTGTTGGTCCTTACGGTGCGCAGGTGAACACTTCATCGCTGCTCCTTCAGGGCAATTAATTGTAGTTCCAGCAACATTTTACATATATTCTTCCCCCTGAACTATAGAGCAATCTAATGAAGTGGGTAGTATCCAGAATAGGTAAAGGCTAAGAAACTCACTCAAGGTCACACACTAACGGTACCTTCTAGTTTATGTGGATCTTGGATGGAAACCCTTGAGCGTCTATTAAATTATAGCTCTCTGGTTAATGTTACACTTCTTACACTGCTTTTCACATTTAGAGACTCCAATAACTCACCAGAAGCCTCGAACCAAAGAAAGTCAACACTTCCCTTCTGAGGAAGAAGGTAAGGACCTTGTCCTTATGGGGTTTTGGACCTTTTTCTATTCAGCAGCGAGAAGTTGATGTGTCTGGAGCTTCTCCCTTCTTCACCAAAAGAGCCGTATTTTCACATACTGATTTTCTGAAGAGAAAATATGAGAGCTTCTTTCCTTTCCTACTAACTGGGTGCCCCACCAGCAAAACACCAGGAACAAATGGGCAAGAGCAGTGATAACTGTTGCCCTCATGAAGCTTATAGTCTAACGAAAGATGGTAAAACAACCACACAGATAAAACTACAACTAAGATACATGATTCCATGAGA